GTTTTTATAGCACAAGGAGGGGGGAGGCTCTTTGGAAAATTCTTGCCTGATAAGCTAAAAATCCTTTTTTTAAAAGGTCACTGGGGGGGGGGGAAGAGAAATGCTATGTGCTAAAAAGCAGCTTTCTTTGCCCAAACCAAGGGTCCTTCCAATTTCTTGCAAATAAACTCATTTGCTTTGTAAGAAGATGGGGGGGGGGGGAATTCAGGCAGGGGTCCTGTGAACGGTATGGACTGATGACTGGGTGTTGCTGCGGCCGGCGTCTGCTCTGCTCTGGCGTCTTTCGAACTTGTGGTCAGTGGCTGCTCTTCACTTGAACTGGTTTTGACTGAAAAGATAAGAAAAAGTGTTAAGAAGCAATCAAATCCCACCAGCTTGGATAATGTGATTGAATAACAGAATAAGAGAGTTGGAAGGGACCTTAGAGGTCTTCTAGTCCAACCCCGCCCCTGCTCAGGCAGGAAATTGAGGCAGGCTAAGAGAGAAGGTTCAAAAATTCTCATTTCTCTTCCTCTGCCTTTTTTCTCTAACACAGACCTTGTTTGAAAGGATAGTCTGACCCAGAAAAAATGCACGCCTAAAGTATTAAATGCCAATTAAGTGACTGACATATTTTTCAAGTGTCTGGAGTGCAGGGGGAAAAAAACACTTGCGAAGATTAGTGGGGGAAAGAGCCTCTATTCTGTTCTCAAAAGTCAACAAGGTTGTTTAAAAATACATATTCAGGCTTTTTGGTCTGAGCAAAACCTCAACAAGTGAACAGGAAAAGCAAGTTGAATACGAAAGGACGGGAGTTGACTCAGTACTTTTTCTGCAGTTCTGGGGTTTTAAGGCCTGCTACAGACAGAAAACCCAATATTTCCTCTTTTTTTGCAAAGGCAGAAGGGTATTCAGCATGGATATTTTGCTCGTCCGGGTTGAACCGCATGTGTGCACGTGGCCCATGCAATTTGCCACCTGTGGTTCATAGCTTGGGTGTTAGGTGTGAACGAGGGCATGCTGGTTGACCCAGAAACCAAGATAGAACAAAAGGCGATTTTGTGAAAACCACAGGGGGGGAAAAATCACCTCGTGGTGGCCTGTCCCACATCAGCAGGAAGTGTCTTTCCCCAGATTTTTAAGGCTACTTTTTGATCAGCTCCCCAGTCGAGGGCGGCCCTAGCAGTGGAAGGGGAGCCTGCCTCTGAGCACGTGCCAAGTGCCACCAAGACCGCCGGGGGGGTTGGGAAGAGAAGCGCGCACCTTCTTGTCGCGGGGGAAGGCCTCCTTCAGGCTGCGCCAGAGCGCCTTCAGCCCGGCGTTGACCTTAGCCCAGAAGCGGCGCCGCTTGTCGTCCTGGTCGCGCTGGATGTCGCGCAGGGCGCAGAGGTGCACCTGGCCCAGGTCGCAGCCGGGGGCCAGCAGGTCGCACTGGCGCTTGGGCCGGCTGCAGGCGCAGACGGCGTAGCTGCAGACCACCCGCTCGAAGCGCAGCAGGTCGTACTGCGCGGGATCCAGGCGCACGGCCGGCTTGGCGTAGGTGATGTCGCGCACGCGGGCCATGCTGCCGGCCGCGCAGTTGCAGTGCCAGGCGCTCCACTCCTGCCAGGCGTAGCGCGTGTCGCCCACGATCAGCACCGCCCCGTGGGCCGCGGGGCTGACAGCCGCGGGCAGGGCGGGCAGCAGCGGCAGCTCCTTGGTGCCCGCCACCGCCTCCGCCTCCGCCTGGTTGATGTAGCCGGCCGCCACCGTGGCCCTGGCGGCGGCGGGCACCCGCTCCAGCAGCTCGGGGGGCGCCGAGACCTGCGCCCCGTCCTCGTCCGGCTCCTGCGCCCCGCCGGCCGCGCCCAGCCAGCAGAGCGCCAGCGCCAGCCCCGCCAGCGCCAGCCCGGGGGCCATGGGGCTCCGCGACCCTCCGCAGGCGCTCGCCGGGCGGGTCGGGGGTCTCGCTAGGCAACGAGAACAAAGGCGCGGCTGGAACGCCGAGGGAGGGAGGGGGGCGCGGAACGGCCGAGGGGAGGGGGCGCCCGCTCTGACGCCCACTCCTGGCGCCGCCCCCCCCCCACGCTTTCTGGCCGGGAGGGGGGCGCAGGGGGGCTCCGGGCGTCCTGGGAGGGGGGGGGCAAGGCAGCCCATAACTCTGGGGGACGGCAGGGATGCTGTTCCTATCCCGTTTAAAAAGACTAGCAAGACAGAGGGGAAGCGTTGAGTGGGAGGGTCTCCAGAGGCCATCCAGCCGGTCTGGCTCTTTGGGGGCCTCAGGAGGTGCTGCTGGACTGATGGAGCCTGAGGGAGACAAGGGGAAATAGAAGGAGACTGGTTGGCACTTCACACCCAGAATAGACAATTGATTTATCACTTATCCCGGATAAAGCCTTCGGAGGGAGGAGGGAGGGGCTGGACTCCAGCCTCCATCCTCCCCAACCCGGGTAGGCTGGACCTGATTGACAGGCCTTTGTGGCTTCCCCTGTCCTTTGCCGGTTCAGTGGCCCCCTGCGTGGAGGGTTTTCTGCCCCTAAAGAGGGCATATTCATAGTTTGTAAAGCTTGACCGTCTCCCCAGAGCATGTGAAGAGGGCACTCTGGCTGACTTTGCAAGGCAGGGAGTTTTGCACTCCAGGCGGGGTGGGGGTGGGGGAACAAACTGGACGGGGGAAAAACCAGACCCTACTCACTGCTGGACACAGGCCGGGATATGGATCTGTTGCAGGGGGACGATCTGGGCCAGGTCATCCAGGCTCTCCACAAACCGCACTTTCTGCCTGAATTTGGAACTGGAAAAAGGAGAAAGGAGGACACTTGAGGGTGTGTTTGTGTTGGCATTGCCACCTTTGTGGCTGCAACGCAACTCTTTTTTTCAAATCAACCTTGGCATCCTTACACCCACCTGATGAAAGGCTTAAACACCGTCATCAGGGCTTTGATGTACCAGGTGGGATGAACGATGACCAAAGATTTCAAATTCTTCCGAAGCCTGGGGGAAAAAAAAAGGAAAGGAACAGTGGAACTCCATGCCACAGGATTTCGATATCCTGCTTTGTTTCTCCTTCCTTTCTCGGGGTGGGGGGAGGAGAGAAGGTTATAGCACCGAGTAAAACTGGAGATACCGTGCTTTCTAAGTTGCCTCCACAGTGTGTGGTCTTGGGACAGTCAATTTTTTTTATTTATTTATTAAAGTTATATGCCACCTGTCTCACTATAGGAGCAGAATATCAGAATGTGGATAGTCCAACCCCCTGCTCAAGCAGGAGACCCTAGACCATTTCAGACAGATGGCTGTCCAGTCTCTTCTCAAAAGCCTCCAGTGATGGAGCACCCACAATTTCTGGTGGCAAGCAGTTCCACTGGTTAATTGTCCTCACTGTTAGGAAGTTTCTCCTTAGTTCCAGGTTGCTTCTCTCCTTGGTTAGTTCCCATCCGTTGCTTCTTGTCCTGCCTTCAGGGGCTTTGGAAAATACTTTGACCCCCTCTTCTCTGTGGCAGCCCCTCAAATATTGGAAGCCTGCTATCCTGACACCCCCCAAGTCCTCCTTTTCACTAGTCTAGACAAAGCCAGTTTGGCTCTGGATTGGGGCTCTGAATCCCTTGGAGAAAAGGCAGAGGGGGGGAAAAAACATTTGAAAAAGAGAAGTACTTTCTGCCTGTGTAAAGAATGTTCTTTTCCCCCTATTTCTATCTTCCAACAGATGATTCCTTTTGTTGTTTGAGATGGGCGCTGGAGTGCCGTTCAGCGTCCTTGATGACAAACCAGCTGAATAATAATCGCCCACACCCCTTTCTGCAAGGCCTCACCTTGAAGAATTCAGGATTAAAAGAGGGGAAAGGGCTGCTGTTTAAGGCCGCTGAGAGACCCCGGTTCCTTTCAGCCAGGCAGACCTGCTTTAAAATGCTATTTATCCCCAAACCCTTTCTGCAAATGGCCATTAAAAGGCACAAAGCAGGGCTCATCCTTGAAAAGCAGCCCTTTTTAAAAAAAAAAAAACAAGCATCTCTAGGCAATTCTAGAAAAAAACGGAAATATCGGGGGGTGGGGGGGGTGGGGAGGTGCGTGTTCTTCAAATTGCCTTAATTTGGAAGATGCTCACGGCTGCGCCTCTTACCGCCGGTCGATTGTCTGATAGCACTGCTTGATCCAGGCAAAAGATGGAAACCGGCTCCGTGAAGTGGCGCCATTCAGACACACCAGCATGTAATTCTCGGCTACCATCAGCTCCAGAGTTCCTATTATATACCTACAGGGAATGATCAAATAGGCTGGAGTCCATTTCCTGCGTTTTGCCTTCCAGAAAAGCCAAATTGATCCTCTCCCACAGCAGCAGAACAATCAGAAGGGAAAGATAATAGCTGGAGACTGTAAAATCTATCTTTCTTTCTTCTTTCTTTCTTTCTTTCTTTCTTTCTTTCTTTCTTTCTTTCTTTCTTTCTTTCTTCCTTCCTTCCTTCCTTCCTTCCTTCCTTCCTTCCTTCCTTCCTTCCTTTTGTTCTCTCTTTTCTCTTTCTTCCTTCCTTCCTCCCTCCCTCTCTTCCCTCCCTCCCTTTCTTTTTCTCTTTCTTCCTTTTTTTCTTTCTTTCTCCTTTCTCCCTCCCTCCCTCCCTTATTTATTTATTTATCTTCCTCTTTTTCTTTCCTTCCTTCCTTCCTTCCCTTTTTCTTTTTCTTTCTTTCCTTCTTCCTTCCTTCCTTCCTTTTGTTCTCTTTTCTCTTTCTTCCTTCCTTCCTCCCTCCCTCTCTTCCCTCCCTCCTTTTTTTTCTCTTTCTTCCTTTCTTTCTTTTTTCTTTCTTTCTTTCTCCTTTCTCCCTCCCTCCCTCCCTTATTTATTTATTTATTTATTTATTTATTTATCTTCCTCTTTTTCTTTCCTTCCTTCCTTCCCTCCTTTTTCTCTTTTTTTCTTTCTTTCTTCTTTCTTTCTTTCTTTCTTTTTCTCTTTCTTTCTTTCTTACTTACTTACTTACTTACTTACTTACTTACTTACTTACTTACTTACTTACTTACTTACTTACTTACTTACTTACTTACATAAAACAACAGACAGCTCTACCCTAATCTCCTTTTCAAGGTTCAGTTCACGGAGAGACACACAAGGGAAACTTGTAGTAGCAGGCAGCTGACACACAAGCACACACCCCAGATGAGAAGTCTTTAGCCTCTGCCGGGCTTTGCCCCACGGCAGAATCTCAGCATGATGCGACTTGCATTTGGAGCAGGAAAATCGGCCCGTGTTTCCACCTAATCAGCCCGAAGGATTATTTTTACTTTACTTCTCACTAATCCGAGGCCTAGCTACCACATTGAAAACAATAACAAGGCGGGTTTCTGTTCCAGAGTGCCCCTCCAAACTTCTCACCACTCCCCTCAGCTCAGGTAGAGGGGCCGGTGGACGTTACCTGAACAGGTTCTCCATGATGTAGGGATAATTGGGGACGCTGCTTTCTGGCAGGTAGCAAGAAGCAAAAACGAGAACGGCGTTCAGGCCTTCGCCGTAATGGCCTGGGAAAAGGAAGGAGGCAGAGATGAGATCACCACGCAGGATCAGAGTCGCCCTTCCCGTTGAACAAACCGGGAATGGTGGTTCCAAATGTAGGCCGCCGTCCTCTTGGCCAGAGGCTGAGATTACAGTACCTCCGTGGGAGATCACCCTCGCGTAGGGCTCGATGGCGCTTAGATCCACTTTGCGCTCGTGTTCGTCTCCCAGGAATATGCGCCAGACCCGTCCGTCGGGATCCTTGGTGTCCATCACGCGGCCACTGCAGAATTTCTCCGGCAGGTTGGCCTCCACCCGCCGGGCCCGCGGGAGGTCATCTGGGATGGGTGGGGAGGACAGAAAGCGGGCATCAAGTCCCAGCTTTATTGACTCAGAAGGGACCAAATCTCTGCCAGCTGGGATCTAATGGCAGGTCGGCTTCCTTGAGACTCGAACTCGGGACCTCACCTTCCCATTCGAATTCGTGCCCGCTCTCCGGGCCCTCCTGAAGCTCGCTTTCGGAAGGCGTCTCCAGCTCATCCAGGTTGATCTCCAAGCTGGCGTCTGGGGTGCTTTCGGGGAGATCCCCCGATTTTACCGAGCCCTCGCTGAGGTCCGGGGCCTGGAGACGCTTCCTCATGTGTCTCCGGCCGCAGAGTGCCAGGGTGTTGGAGGCGACTGCAGAGAAGGGAAGGATTGTAACGTGGGGTGTTGTGGGGGGTAGAGTGCCTTGAACGATGGAGGCTCTACGAAAAAAAAACCTCTCAAAGGGCAGCATTTTTTTCCTGAATCTTACCCGGACTCAGTTCGGAACTGGAGGGCTCCAGATCTTCTTCCGAGGTCTCCTCCGACAAAGGGCTGTAAAATCAAAGATATTTTGATTTTTTTTTTTTAACTAAGCCCTGATCTCCAAACCCTTTGACTTGGGGGAGGAACCCAGATATATAAAGAAAGCCTTCAGATTATGACGTTATATAGCTCTATAAAGCTATACGGCGAGAGTCACTGGAAGTTAGCAGCCATATAAATTCTCTAAATAAATAAATACATCAAGCTATAAAGGCAATTCAATCTACCGAGGGGATTATATAAATTTAATAAATTTAATAAATTTATTTATTTATTAAATTTAATAAATTTAATAAAGAAATAAATAAATTATAAGGACTCGAACCTTGGCCAGGGGGCTGGACTAGAAGACCTCCAAGGTCCCTTCCAGCCCTAGGATTCTAAGCAGAACCGAGCAGGGCTCCCACGCAGAGAGAACCCTCTAACGTTGTTCAGTACAGACGACAATTTGCAAGTAATTTGCTTCAATTTAAGCAATCTGGTTTTATTTTATCAAGGATTGGGGGGGGGAAACAGCAGGAATTGGGGAGGGAAAAGTGAGATGTCTGCCTGAATCCTAGCCAAGGGAACTTTTTTGACCACCGGTGTTCAAGGGTAGACTGCTCTTGAACACGGAGTCCCCTTTACCGTGGGAATTCGTCGTCCTGCCATTCTTCTCTCAGTTCCAGGTCTCGGATGTTCCCCGCCGGGTCTGACGCCTCCATGGCTTCTTTCTTAAGCCTGCAAAGGCATGAGAGCGACCGGATTTCCCACCTGCCCTGTCGGAATCGCAGGCTGCAATCTCACCGGTACAGAGGCAGTCTCCCCCCCACAGTGCCCTAAAATGGGCAGGTTGGTTTTCTGCTCGCTTTGAGGGCTGGCAAACTCAGCCTGCTGGGGGTTAAGTCCTGGCTCATGCCTGGGGTTGGCCCCGAGAAGGGATTAAGGCCATCGGAAGGTGCTCTGAATGGTTTCTGAAGGTCATTTAGTCTGACCCTGGCTCCGTGCGAGGAACGCATCCCCTTTGTGCTGGCTGGGGAATTCTGGGAATTGAAGTCCACACCTCTTAAAGTGGCCGACTTCGGCGACCCCTGGTTTAGTGCACAGCCGGCCCTGTGGGGCTGCCCGCTCGAATCCCGCCAACTCCCAAGCCAGGACCCTGGGGCTGTGGTCCTCTCTCCATCTTCCAGGCAGCTGGCACACAGGTAGAATGCCCTTAAACCTGGAGGTTCTGTGCCTAGCTTACTAGTGGCTGGTTATTCCAGGCACCCAAAAGGTGATTTAAACTGTGATCAACAGCTTCCTGGGAATCCTGCCAGAGTGGACCAAAAATGTGTTGCCGGGTGCCGCAACCTGTAATTAAGGTGTGACGGAGGGAGCACGGATGTATCTACGTCTGTCCGAAGGGCGTAGCAGAGAAGAAACCACACCCGGAGGGAAATCCATTTGAAGGGAGAGAAACAACCTTAATTTGGGGTAGGCTTGAGGGAAGTGAAATAAAAAAAGGAAAAAAAGAGAGAATCACTGCTTTTTTTTTCAAGAAATGTAGAACCTCCAGCTCCAGCAGCAGCTGACCTTCGAAGGCCAACAAGGAAAGGCCCTCCCTTTCCAGACCTGGGGGCACTGAACAGCTGGAAATAGGTGCCCAGCTGCAAAAGACCCATCTCGAGGAAAACGAATAAGGTGTGAATGTGAATTGGAAGCAAAATCTGGATTTTTTTCATCCTGTGCATGATGGCTGCATTCACACGATGCTAGTCAGTTTGCCGGATGCGCCCCCCCCTTCCAGAGAGGCCTCGAGCTGTTGCCTGTAACTCAGGGAGAACCCCTTGTAAACAGGATGGCCAAAAGGCCGGAAGAGTTGAAATTAAAAACCCGGGATAATTTAAAGCAGCAGGCAAACATGACGTCAAGTGGTGTCAAGTTAATGAACCGGTTCAAAGATGGTGATTGCAGTTCACACCTGCCGAAGGAGAAGCAGATTTCTTCCGTGTCTGCCCCCCCCCCCCCGACTCTTTGGGTGCAATGGCTCAGCACGGCGAAGCCTTCCGAATTTTCTCACCTCTAAACTGGGCGCAAGAATCTATGGCGCGACTTGGCGAGATGGTTGCTACCCTTTGAAAATCAACACAAAGTTCTCGGCGTTTGTTTTTAACACAAAAAGCTTCGCAAAAGGGAAGCACAGCCACAGCTGAATTGGGAAAGCGAAGCGGGGTGGGCGGGAGACCACCAGGAGATTTTGTCTTTAGGAGAAACGAAGGAAGGAAGGAAGGAAGGAAGGAAGGAAGGAAGGAAGGAAGGAAGGAAAAGATTCCTTCAAAGCAACAATGTCAACAACTGTTTTTGTGTTCAAAAAAAGTAGAGAGATTTCTGGCTTGGCTGGAAGGAGATGTTTAATTTAAGCAGGACCCACAATGATAAAAATATGTCGGGCACCAGCCTCCTTTTCTTAAAATTAATGTTTGCAGAGAAGCTGGATAACTACCTGGGCGCAGGTAGATTTTTGCCTTGATTATTGAGGTGGTGCCTGTTTATGTTTCAGGGAGGTTTAACCCGGATAGCAAATTTTTTGTTCTCGTGAAAGGGTGACAGAAGGGTTGAATCTTGTCAGATGGGGAAACCTGCTTACCTTCCGGGTGCGGCTGAACTACAATTCCCATCTAAAGAGTTGGGGGGGTGTCTCCTGGCCAGGCGCCAGCTTAAGAGAGGAATTACAACCTTGCAGGGGGATCGTGAATTCATTTGGCCCTGGGTTGGCCATGGAAAAGAAAGAAAACCCCGGTTTATTGGGGAACAGGCCCTCATCCAGAGTCCTCCCCCCCCTTTGAAGGGACTCACCTTTCCGAGGCAAGGGTCCTGCCGTCTCCCACGAAGGAACCCATGGAGGGTGAGTGGGTTGTCCAGCCAGGTGCGGATCCAGCCTCCCCTACTCGTGATGGGCACCCGAACTCGCACTACAGTCCTGGAGGTGTGGACATGCCAGCGGAAGCCGGGAGAGGCATCTCAAACTGGTTTTTCTGCTTGCAGAGTTTGGCAGAGGGAAGCTGGGTCCTAACGCCGAAGAAGAGCACTCGGGAGAACAGCCACCGGCCGGCTGGGGACGATGGGAATTTTAGAAGAGTGGGATTTGGTGCCAACACGGGTAGCCAAGTTAGCTGAGGGGAGTTGAACAGGAGGGCCTAACCCTGGCCGTTTTAAGACTTGTGGACTTTTAACTCCCAGAATTATGGATTTTTAATTCTCTGAATTATGGACTTTTAACTCCCAGAATTATGGACTTTTAACTCCCAGAATTATGGACTTTTAACTCCCAGAATTATGGATTTTTAATTCCCCAAATTATGGACTTTTAATTCCCCAAATTATGGACTTTTAACTCCCCGAATTATGGACTTTTAACTCCCAGAATTATGGATTTTTAACTCCCAGAATTATGGACTTTTAATTCCCCAAATTATGGACTTTTAACTCCCAGAATTATGGACTTTTAACTCCCAGAATTATGGACATTTAACTCCCAGAATTCCCCAGCCAGTCCGCAAGTTTTAAAGCAGCCAAGGTTGCACACCCCTGGTGTAGTTTGCCGGTTGCGCAAGTATTGTTTTGATGGTCCCTAGGAAGTATTATGGGGTTTGTGATCTTTGTGCCATTGTTAAGTTTTTATTTACTGAGGTCGATTGAGGCCAGGCTGGGCCTTATGGGTGGGAACCCTGATTTTTTTTTCTGCAAATATATAAACAGGAAGTCAAAATTCGGTGGGAGGAATCGCGTTTCCATCTGATCAGCTTTGTTTGTTGCCAACTTCGCCTGGGTTCGCACGACACACTCAACAACAAAGGCGTGTCAGTCGGATGGGCCGACCGGGGTGTGTGTGTCCTTTTGTGAGCTGCCAAATGGGGTCAACGCGCGCAGGCAGGTTGGAGAAAAGGATGCGGGATAAATACATCGCCAGGATCGACGTGTCGTAAAGGGAAGGGCCGATGGATGCAGGTGTGAACACGGACTTTGCGCTTTACCTGTTGAATTAGGCCTGAGTAGCAGAGGGAGGGAAGGATCTTCCCTTTCAAACAGGAGAAAACCAACCGTGATATCAGTTGGCGTCGCAAAGAGGAACACCCAGCTTCAGTGGCACTCTACCTTTGAGTGAACAGGAGCAAGTTTGACTTTTGGGGGTGGCAGAAAGAGGGCATCACAATTTACACTGTTTCTAGAAATGATCCAGGATTCCTACACAACGTCACTTTGTTCCCAGCAACCAGGAATTCACTCTTTCAGTAGTTTGCATGTCTAAAAATTTCTTTATTTGAAATTTCTCCTTTGTTTGGGGGGCCACACAGCCAAGACCAACGTCTCCACCTGCCTATCCCAGGTGCTGCCAAGGGGTGGGGAGAGTGAAATTAAGGCTGGAGTACAGAGGGAGGTGCATGGGGGCTCCAAGAGCCCCCGATTAGGGACCCCCTTAGAAGCTGCCTTAATAAAACACCGTATTTGTGCAGCGAGTGGATTGCAAAATGCCGTAAAATCTGCACAGGTATAAAAAAATACAGGACCGTTTACACCTTTGTAGGAAAATGTTTGAAGGAACAGGAGATGAGGGTTTTTATTTCAGTCCTGTTACAGCAGGACTCTCCAAACTGGGCCACTTGAAGACGTGTGGACTTCAACTCCCAGAATCCCCCAGCCAGCCATACATGGCTGGCTGGGGGATTCTGGGAGTTGAAGTCCACACGTCTTCAAGTGGCCCAGCTCGGAGACCCCTATTCTGCAGGATTCAACCGAGCACAAAACGCACAACACGTCTGAGCTAAATATTGCCGCAAGAAAACTTTGGAACAATTTTGAAGGACGCGCTTGGGGAAAAAAAAAAGAGGATTTGGGGTGCCCCCATCCTCCCCGAGAATCAGAATTCTGCAATTTTGCAGCAAGCAGCCCGTTTTAATCTCACCCCCCCTCCCCTTTAGTGGCAGCGAATGTTGAGTTCGGCAGCCCCCACCCCTGCTTTCTATTCATTGCGAGGGGGGATTAATCACAGATCACGTCCTACAATTAATTAAAGAAACAGCCTTCCCGGCACCCAGCGGCGCCCACCTCCCGCTCGCCGGGAGTCCCCCCCCCGGAATTTGGCGGTGCCCAGAGTCACTTCTTCTCCGGGCTGCGTCTGCCCAAGGAGCGGTCGGTGGCTATGCGGTTGACCCTCTCGAAGATGACCTCGGGCGAGACTTCGGGCAGACCCTGGTGCAGGGGACACTCGTCCACCAGGCTGTTCATGGGGGTGGGGGGCAGCAAGGTGTCTTCATCGGCGGGGTCCTCGCCCAGGCGGAGCGGCTTCGGGGGCTCCTTGGCGGCCCCGCAGGGATCGCGGCTTCCGGTGCCCTGGGAGTCCACCCTGGCCGGGGGGACGCGACTGGAGACCGCCGGCTGCATGCTGGGGCCGGTCGGGCTGGCTCCGGCCCACTGGGTCAGAAATTCCCGGACGATCGGAAGGACTTTCTTGCGAGAGGCGGTGGTGTTGGCCTGCTGGTAGGCGCGGACGGAGGAGCAGCCCGAGAGGTTGGCCCTCTCCGGCTCCCTGCCCAACGATCTCGCGAGGTTCCGAACCGTGTGGACCTTTTCTTTCTTCGAGAGGTTTCCACCCACTCTAGGTGGAAGGGGGGTGAGAGGGGTCCTGGGACACCCCTAGACCTTTCCAAAGTCGGGTCGAACCTTTGATCCCATGACTACTGCACCGGATCAAACCAGTGGCAACGTCTAAAGGAAACAGCCAACTTCAGAGATCATCAAGGATCCCATAGACCTCCTCTTCCTCTTCCATTCTGCAAGCCCCCCCCTCTCCCTTCTAGCCCTGATGATGTTACCTAGTTGGGTCGTGAAACGTCCGCAAGAGAAGCACCAAGTTCAGAGACCACCAGGGGCTTCCCAGGTCAATCCTGAGCAACAGAGATTCTCATCTATTGAAACCCAAGCTTGCTAGTTGTCCTCGACCGCCAGTCCAAAGGTAGAGTGGCTCTGAACATGGAAGCTCCACTCTTGAGAGAGAAGAGCGCTCCACTAACCAAACGGGGGCCTCTTTAAAGAATCCACAAGCCAACCATGAAAGAACCCCTTGTCTTGTGCCCAGGAAATGGGTTTAAAGGCACACTATTCCTGAAGATGGAGGTTCCATCATGCTGGAGAGGCTGTATATTCCCTACTCCAGAATAAATAAATAAATACTGACCTCCCTTGCAGAGGACTGAAACTCTCACACACCCCCGTTCCGTTTTTACCAAACCCTCCCTGACCCACCCATTTAGCAAGCCAGAGGCAGGAGGCTCTCCCCGGCCCCTCTGCCCCCTACCCAACCCCAGCACCCACCTGGGCCAGAGAGCCTGCCGGATGCGACGGCCACAAAGTGAGGCAGGCAGAGGCTGTTTCCCTCCACACCGCCCTGAGCTCCAGAGGGTGGTTTCAGCTTTGGCATAAAGGGGGAAGTTTGCTACCACCAAGGATGACTCAGGCCGGCATCGGGGAGCTGCCAAATCCTGGAGGACTGGGGGTGTGTGTGGGGGGGGGGGGAGAAGGAGGCTGTTGGGGGCAGAGATAGATGCCGAAAAGGAAGGAAAAACAGGCGGAGTCTGCCCAGCCGACTTCCATGCCAGCGGGCAATCACCCCTGTGCCAGGCTGCTCCAGAAATAAAAGTTTTTGGAAAGGGGAACACTGACATCTTTTATACCATGCCTGTTTTGTTTTGTGTTTTTTCCCCTTTTTTCCAAGCTGGGCATTCTGCCATGCTACAAAACCTCCATGCTACAAAACCTTTCATTAAAATGACCCTTCTTCCTTTCTAAAAGCCTGGGGCTATTCCAAGTCAGATAAAAAGTTTGCAGAGAAGTTCCAGTTTGAACCCGGAGCTAGGACTTTCGTCCTTGCTGCTTGAGACAAGAAGCGTTGTTGGGGTGATCTCATAACCACACACACACACACATACACATACACCCCGTCTGATTGATCAACTGGACTCCTTTTTGATAAAACATAAAGCTACCCCAAATGAAACCCCTGTGCTTTTGTCTTGAACAAGGCTGAGCCAAACCAACAGATCCTAAAATCACAGGGTGAATTTATTTGGGATGGTTGAATTAAACGTCGGCAACCAGGAGGGGGGGGGGCTCAGATTCCTGCATCTGATATATTAGAAAGCTGTCCAGGCGTGCAAAGTGCAAAGCTTACACTATAAATTCACCAATTAAGGTTTAAGGAGTCCCACAATATCTTCAGTGTACTTGCAAGAGAACCCCGTGGGGCTTAAAATAAATGTTCTTTTTAAGCATCATGACTTTTGAGTCACCCTCATCGAAAAATTTGCATTAGCTAATATTTTGTCAAGCAGGGTGGTGTCCAATTATTTATCTGCTTGGCAACATGGGTTAAAATGTAAATAAGTAAAGGAAAAAAACCCAAGAGCTGGTTTCAAACAGAAGGGCAAAAAAATTGAACTCAGAAAGCTTCGGAGAGTGGTCAGTTTCAGTTCTTGGAAAAATAATAGCAAATCCAAGATCGGTCGGAAAATAATTCCAAAGTAAACCCAGAGGTTTGGAACAGAGAGACAGTTTGCCTGTCAGCTGATCAAATAACCCTCCCTGGAGATGCACCTTGCGAGAAAGTGTTGCAAATTTTGCATTAAAAGAGATATATATATTTTTTTTAATCAGGACGGAACAAGCAGAAGCTCGCTTAAAAAAAGGAAAAAGAAAAAAATAAGGAATTTGGAAACGGGACATTTAACCTTTGACCAAACCCAGATGGGGAGTTTCACTATTGACAATAATGACATTTTTTTTATTTATTTTAGTTTTGCCCTTCGCCTCGCTGGTGGCAAAGCCCCGGGCAGTCGAGTGGCAATTAAAAAGCCACAAAGGCTGCGACCCGTGCATTTGCACGCTCGCACAATCGCCCCCCCCCCCCCAAGGTGGAAGGCCCGAAACGAGGAAGCCTACCTGTTCCGACCTAATAAGTTTCTTTAGCCGTTTGTTGATTCTCTTCCTAATTTTACCTGAGGGAGGTAGAGAGGTGAGGACTTTAGGAAGCGGAAGACGTTTTGGGTCGTGAAGACAAATGACCCCCCAGGTAATTCCTACCCTTCCCACACACACACTGTTTTCTAGGGAGATGGGGATGTGGGTGTGGCGAAGGGGGATACAAAAGACCCCCACCCACCAAATCTGCTGCTTACCTCCAGGCTGGAGCTGCTGCTGTCTAGAGAGGACGCGGGCAGCCCCCCTCCCCTGCCTCGGCTGCTCCCCCTCCCCACCTGCCCGCTCGGCTAACCGGCAACGGCAGGGACCTTTGGCTGTGGTTAATGAGTGGCAGAGGCTCCACGGGGCGCCTGCGTGAACATCCCTCCCGCTCTGCCACCTGCCAAACAGGCTCTTTTCCAACAAGGGATGTTCTGGGTTGGTTTGCACCGGCTGGCGCCAGCCAGGGCAAAATCCGCCCCGGACACAAAGCAAGACCCCAGGTTTAAGGGCAGAAGATCGGCTGGAAAGAGAGAGAGAGAGAAAAAAGAAAGCTCAGATGCTCCTTCCTAAAAATCACACCGTAAATTGAGACTGGGCAATGGAGGACAGTTCCCCATAGCAGGATCCAATTTCCCCCCCCTTTCTCCCCCATTTTTTACTGGGGCGCGTAAACCTCCCCCAAAGTGTCTTAATTGCACCTCGGCTGTTCATTCCTCCTTTGTGGCGGTCCTGTAACCCGGCCGTATGCCCCGATTTTGGCGTCACGAGAGACTTGACATGGAAACTGGCTACGAGGGGTCCTTGACTTATGACCACAACACCCAAAATTTCTCTTGCTAAACGAGACATTCGTTAAGTGAATTTTTGCCCCCTTTTACCAACTTCCTCGCCAGGTTTGTTAAGCGAATTGCTGCAATTGTTAAGTTAGCAACACGGTTGTTAAAAGGATCTCATTTCCTCTTTGGCTTGTCAGTAGGTGACAAAAGGGGATCCCCTGACCCCGGGACGCTGCGGCCGTCGTAAATACGAGTCTGTTGCCAAGCATCCGAATTTGGATCACAGGGATGCTACAACGGTCCTACGTGTGAAAAACTATAATAAGTCACTTTTCCCAAGGCTGTTGTAACTTTGAACGGTCACTAAAATGACTGTTGTAAGTCGAGCACTTCCTGTATTTGCACCAGCCAAGCCTCACTTCCTTAAGCCAAGATAGACACAGATGGTTTTCTTCCTTCCTTCAAGCCACGATTAATTTAGGGAAATAAAATCAGCCTGGCACCGTTGCAGCCAAGCTGGAAAATCGGAAGGATTGAGTTTGGGGATGAGAAAAGATGCTAAAGGCCAGCCAGGTTAGAGAAGAAAAACCAGTTAAGGTTTAGCGATAAGATTGGGGATTCAGAAGTGACGTTTCCCCCCCCCGCCGTAATCCACAGGGATTCGGGTTGAGATTCCACTCACCGCGTCTTGGAGTTGGCCCTGCTGACTGAACACCGCGAGCTGCCGAAACGGCTTCTTGCGGTCCCCGAAGGAGATGGTCATGGCGACGAGCAGGCTGAAGCCTCTTTGGTGACAGAAAGCGGCCAGATCCTGCTCCAGCCCAGGCCGGTGCAGGAAATCCTGAAAAAAGGGAGATTTAAAACACAGGTAGACCCAACTGTGCCAACTTGAAGACTTGTGGACTTCAATTCCCAGAATTCCCCAGCCAGCACAGCTGGCTGGGGAATTCTGGGAGTTGAAGTTCACAGGCCATCCAGTTGCCAACGTCGGCCAACCCTGGTTTAGAGAAAGCAAACACGGTTGGGGTTCACTTAACAGCTGTGGCAAGACAGATGGCAAAAAGGGGGCAAAACTCACTTAACGAGCGTCGTATGTCGAGGATGACAGGCTTCACACTCACCTGGAGAGCCACGTACACGGCGCTAATGGCCACCGTTGCTTTTTTGCTGGCCAGGCTTTTGAGGTCCTTCCGCAGCATCTGCTCGGTGGTGAGGCCTGTGGGAGGGAGAGTCCGAATTTTTGGGGGTGTGTATGTGTGTGTGTGTGTGTGTGTGTGTGGTATGTGTGGCACCTGGCATTCCTCCAGGTGCCACACATCAATTTGGGGGGAAATTGACGGCCTGCCCTGCCCTCCTTCTGCCTCCCAGCGGATTCCCAAACAAGCCCACATCCTGCAATCTTGGCTTGCAGATGACCCTGGCTGGGGGGGGGGTCTTAAAGGGAACCCGCCCAGGGATGCCTGCACACCTGAGACGTCAAACTTGGCTCTCTGCAGAGCGTCAAAGACCTGGTTTCTCGGCTGCAGCTCGGGGAACATGGATTCCAGCCGAGAAACGCAACGGGCGTCCTTGGGGGTTACTTTGCCGGCTTCGACGGCCATGTTCACACAATCCAGCAGGATGGTTCCTGGCAGGGCAAAAAAAAAAAAAAAAAAAACTGGGTCAAGGAAGGCCCCAATTCAAGGCAGTCCAGACGGTCTGCGCTGCAAATTTCCCGATGGCAAATGGGCAAGGTTTGGGGTGAATCTGCGCAAGTTGCTCGCCCTCACCGTGCAGCAGAGCAGCAATTTGGCTGTCTAAAGTTGGCACCCCGGCTTGCAGGAGCCTCTCGGCCACCAGGGTGGCACAGGAGCCCACCAGCTCGGCCGTCACTCTGCAGGGAGGGGGCCTCTCCCACTCCAGGGGCCGGTGGTCCAGCACCTCCACCACGGCTGCCTCCAGCCCTGCGTCTTTGCTGGGGAAAGAGACAAAAGAGGTGGGGATAAGCACTCCCCATCCCATCAGCCACAGCCGAGAGGGGCTCCCATGAAGCTGGCAGTCGTGGAAGATGGAGCACAGCTGGGGGACTTTGGATAGAGGTAGTCCTTGACTTACTCCCCAGACATTCAAACATAGGGGGCAGAGGCGCAGTGGATGGACTGAGCCCTAACCCCGCTTTGCATGGGGGGGGGGCTGCTCCTGTCTCTGCCCACCTGGGCAGGATGTGGTGGTCCACCAGCGTCATGGACAGCAGCCCGGCCTTGTTCAGCCCCGCCAGGTCGATCTCATCCCGGAAAACGAGGACTTTCTCGGGGATACGTTGCTGATGGAGAAGGAAGGCGCTCTCCGTCCGAAGAGGGAAGTCGACCCGGGGGATGTTGAGGACCGGAACGAAGGCCGCCTCAGAGTCCAGAGAGGTCTGGGGGGGGGCACAAAAGGATGGTGGGAATTTACACGGGGGGGGGGGACAGCAAGGAACACGCAGAGCATCAAAGAAGGTGGAAATGGAACCTCGAAATAAGACCAAGACAGGACTTTGTGGAGGAGAAGGACACATCCGTGAGGTGGCAGCCAAATAAATTGCTTTAAAAACCCAAAATGTCCAGGGTGTCCCTGGAGGGGGGGGAGGGCAGAAGTCTCTGTATCCTCCTTGTACTCCTCCCCAGGTCTGAATCCTGCAAATCGCCGCCCGGCACCCAGTTTTAATTCTGCGACATGGAACTCAGAGGAGAGAGGGCCACAGGAAGGGGCCTGGGAGATGCATCAGCAAATTATGGGAGGGGTCCCGGGGCAGGCCCAAGGCGTTCTAGCGAGATCAGAACCCGGAGCGACACATCGAAAGGCTGACCTTTGCCAAAAAGTAGGCGAGGACCAAGGCGGATATCATGGAGTCGAGATCACACGCCTCGTTGCCCAGCACCACGTGAACGGCCCTTTTGCTCTGAACGTGATCCTGCCAGGGGACAAGCAAGGAGATGAAACGAGGATGAAACAGAGAGTTTCCAGAGACGGGGCATGTCTGGGGTGGGCACAGCAAAGGGGAACGTTCTTGGTGATCGAAAATAAAAGGAAGGGCTCCAGAGCACATGAGGGCTGGACCGCAGGGCCTGAATTCGAGGGGAAAATTAGCACTCGGGCCCGCTCCCCCTTGTTCAGCCAGGGGCAGCGTCTGTAAAAAGGGCACGATGCCAACTTTCAGAGGGGGACAGATAGGAAAGCAGGGCACCTATTTCTGGGCTCATTCTCCTACTTCGATTCCTTTGCCAACCAAGCTGAAAGAAAGAGGATAAATGAAGAAAAATCCAAGTGAAAATGTCTGTATTTGGCTCATAAGACGGCCAGTTTTTCTGAATTAACTCGGTTGAGATTAGAACCGCAAATGGACGTGGTTTATTATTATTTTTTGTTTAAATTAAGGAGGGGTAAAAGGGTTGCTGAGAAGCAGGTGGTGCCAGCTATTAGGAGACCCTGGAAAGCTTCCCCCGCCCTCCCTCTCTGCAAACAAACCCTGGTTTCCCAGTGCCGGCAGAACGCCGGAAGACGTCAGCCGACAAGCCACGTCCAGATCACCTGAGGCTGGAAAGGTGGGATGCGGCCAGGGCGGAGGTTTAGCGGCAGAGCAGATGGCTGGGGGGGGGGCAGACCGGAAATTAAAATGGGAGGGGGATTCAGAAGCGAAAGAGGCCGGGCGTTCCCACCAAGAGGCCCTCAGGGGCCCAATGGAAAGGGCCGCCTGCGTAGAAGCCATCTGGACAAGCAAACTTAATAATGGTGCTGCTTAATGACGAGTTTTCCGGTCTGTTGTAGTCGTAACTCAAGGACGTTGGTACAAAATGTATGTCTGGAGCAGAGGTGTCCAAGCTTGGCCACTTTTAAGACTTGTGTGTGGACTTCAGCTACCAGAATCCCCCAGGCAGCCGGGGAATTCTGGGCGTTGGAGTCCACCCGTGTGAAAAGTGGCCAGACTGGACACTCCTGGTCCAGAGGGACAGCGGGAAGCGCCGTCCAAGGTGGAAGAGTCGCCCAAGGGTCGCCCAAGGGGACCTGGAGGGCCAGAAAGCCAGGGCATCGGAGCCTCTGCCCACCCACCCGGCGGCCTCTGTGCCAGGGAGGCTGCCAAGCAGACGGGCAGAAGCAGCTGACGGGGCCGCCTGACTCACCACCCTCCAGGCGACACAAGACCGTGAATCACCCACAGACGGGGGTCAAAACAAGGCCGGGAAAAGCTCCCTCCCTGGTCAGGATTCGAATCCTGCCCCGGGCCCCAACCTCCTTCTTCCCTTCCCCCCACCCCCCACCCCAGAAGCCGGCAGGGTTGGGGGCTGCTTAACAGAGGGGAAATTCACATTTTAGCCTCTACCTCCTTAGTGGTGGGTGGGGATGATGGGAGTCAGATGCTGTCCCTGCAAGGGTGGTGGGTGGGGATGATGGGAGTCAGATGCTGTCCCTGCAAGGGTGGTGGGAGGGGATGATGGGAGTCAGATGCTGTCCCTGCAAGGGTGGTGGGCGGGGATGATGGGAGTCAGATGCTGTCCCTGCAAGGGTGGTGGGAGAGGATGATGGGAGTCAGATGCTGTCCCTGCAAGGGTGGTGGGCGGGGATGATGGGAGTCANCGGGGATGATGGGAGGCAGATGCTGTCCCTGCAAGGGTGGTGGGCGGGGATGATGGGAACTGGAAGTGGTCTGGCGCCCCCAGGAAGGAGGCGGGTGTACCTTTGACCAGCAAGTAAGACAAAACTAAATAAGGGGAAAGATGGGAGTTGGAGTCGTCCAGCCTCCTCGGGAGTGGTGGGCGGGGATGATGGGAGTCAGATCCACGGAGAAGTAGTGAGTAGGGATGATGGGAGTCCGACTGGCCTAGCCTAGGCAGAGCGGCTGGGGATGATGGGAGCGAGTAGAGCCCGGGGAGGAGGAGGAAAGGAGCGGCCCATGGGGCTGGTAGTCCTCCCGGGGGGGGGAGTACCTGAAGGGCGGCCCTGCAGCCTTCCAGGAAGCTCTCCATGGCTCCGGACAGCCTCGCCCCCGCCCCACCAAGGGCCTACCGCGCCACCACACGTGTGAACGGAGGGCGCGCGGACACGTGTCGAGCCGGCCTCAGCCGCGCCCCCCCCCTCAGGGCGGCCATCGGGTTCGCCGCGGGGGGGGAGGAGCCAAAACAGCGGCGCCTGATTGGCCGGCCCGGAGGCGGAAGGGCGCGGCTTCACCCGCCGCTCTGCGCAGGCGCGGGGACGAAGCGCCGCCTCCCTCTCCCAGCTGGCGTGGAAAAGGGCGTGGCCGAAGCACGCGCTCTCTCCCGGCGACGTCACCGCGGCCAGGGGCGGCTTTGCCTACCTCGCAGGGCGGGCGGTCACCGGGTGTGGTGGGGGGGGGGCGCGTGGAACCGGGCGGCTCCGGGTTTTATGCCGCGTGCACGGCCGTCTGAACGCGCCTTTCTCACGGCGGCTCTTGCAGCAGCGGTTGCCCTTTGCTCCGCTTTTGCAAGTTTTTCTGCCCGGAGATGCCAGCTGGAGCCCCGGAGCAGCGAAGGGCTGGCGGGGCGGGAGGGAGGGGCCTCTGAGCCCCCGGGAGACCCCCCCCCCGCTTTGCTTCCTGGCCATCTCGGACTTCCACGGAGTTTTGACGGCGCCCCGGCTTCGTTGCCCTTCCGAAGCCCTCCTGCCTCCTCCCTCCTGCGCCCGGTTGGGCGAAAGCACCGCCGGCATCCCGAAGCTCAACAGGTAAAGCCTCGCCCCCCCCCCCCCCCCAGGAACCGCGTGGCAGGTTGCAATGCAGCTGCCCGCCTTTGCAACGCGGCCGGGCTGGCTCCGGCTCCAGAGGAGCTCCGTGCAAGGGGAGCCAGCTTCGTTTTCTCCCCTCCGAGGCCGGAAGACCCCAACGCCCCTCCCCGCCTTGATCCAGAAAGATTTGCCCCTTTCCCGAAGCCGAATCGGTCCCTTCCAGCGAGTTGCCAAGCCTCCCCTCCCTCCTCCTCCTTCCCTGGCAGCGACTGTGTTTTAATTTGCTTTTTCTTGGGTGGCTGCAGAGTTTCCTTCCTTGCTTCCTTCCTTTGTTTTCTTTCCTTCCTATCCCTCTTCTCCCCACCCCACCCCCCCGCCTTCCCTACTACGCCCTTACGCTGCGGTGTATCCTCCTCTCCCATAGATGTCTCTGCAGAAAGGCGAGAGGCAGGGCAGGATAAACCCCAGCTAGGTTTTTTTTAGGAGTTTTTTTTCTCTCTCTCTCTCTCTCTGCCAGGCTGGGATCCCCTCCTCCCGGGGTTTTCCTAGCGCAGGGGGGGGGAGCAGGAGGGTGGTGGGGTGGCAGGAGGAAAGGAAGGCGACGAACAGGCTGGCTGGCACAAAAACCAGGATTTGTGCGGAGAAGGATCTGAGCAGGGAAGGGAAATCCGTGTCTAAACAGGTATGGCGCATTTGAGTCCCCCCCCTTCAGTCCCTGCCCTGCTGCTGGAGTGGAAGAGGTGGGATTCGAATCCAGACCCGAAGCTTCGGCGCCTCCTTTGTGCCTCGGTTTCCCCTCGGCTACCTGGCACCCCTCTTTCCGGATTCTCCTCCCTTGGCACCGGACTGGGTTGGTTGGTCTTAAAGGGAGCACCCCCTCCTCCGGTGCTTCCCCCACCCAGGAGGGGGGATTGCAAACAGCTGAGCCTACCCAGGGTCGGAGGAGGGTGGGGGGGAGATGAGGCGCTCTTTCCCACCTCCCCCCCCAAAAAAACCCCTCTTTGTTTTGCAATCCCGCAAAGCTGTCGACACCTCTGGTGTGCAACAGTTTCCTTCAAAAACAAAGTTTGTAGCAGAACGGGAGGGGGGGGAGGCTGCAAACCTCCACCGGTGGAAGGGAGGAGGGGAAATTTATTGGGAGGGGGGGATGCCACTTAAGGGAGAGATTTTTGCCTGGGGAGACGCAGAGGGATAAAATTTACGATCCGAGAATGAATTTTTAATTCTTGTTGTTGGTAGTTAGTTTTCCTCTCTGGTGAGGAAAGCTTGGGGAGTATGGGATTTGGAGTCCCCGTCTGTGGAGGCTCCCCACTCTTAGCGTGTTAACAGACAAGCCATATTTTGGGAGAGGAGGGGGCCTGGCCCTAAGGACGAAGCTCTATCTGGGGGGAGGCATCCTTGCCTTCCTCTCCCTCCCCCCCCCTTATGGGAAGTTTCCAGCTGTTGCTTAAAAGCAGCAAAATGTTTTTGTCAAAATACTGGTTGGGCGGCTTCTTTCTTGCAAAACAAGCCTTTGTCAGCAGGTAAATCCTTGCGTGTACGCACTCACAGAGCGCAGTCACGTCTGCGGTGGCTTATTTGCTTCCTGGGTGCAGTCGGTTCCTTCCAGATGTTGAAGCGCCTCTGCAGCATTTCCTGCTGTGGACCTTGCTGGACACAGTTGGCCCAGGAACAGCTGGATGACCCCTGGTCAATCCAGGTCTGTCTTTGGCTGCCTTTCTGTGGCTACAGAAGGAAACATCTGGAGATCGTTGCACCCAAATCTCCAGGGCAGGCATCCAGATGTCCAGGGGTCCTTCAAAAACTTCAAAACTCAGAAGTAGTGTGAGAGTTTTTGCAGTTTTGTGTACAGGTGGTTCTCAACTTACAACCGTTTGTTTGGTTACAACAGCACTGAAAAAGGGACTGGTCACGAGTCCTCACCCTTCTGCCTGTCACAGCATCCCCACTGTCACGGGCTCAAAATTTGGGCACGGCTTGTATTTACCACAATTGCAGCATCACGGGGGTGTGGTGTGTGTGTGTGTCACATGATCACCCCTTGCAACCTGGGAAGCTGAATTCCCTTAATGACTGCAGTGATTTGGTGCTTAACAATCGTGGCAAAAAAAAAAAAGCTTTTAAAATTGGGTGCATGTGACTGACTCAACCGTCACCTCGCTTAGCAATGGAAATTCATGTGGTCGTAAGCCGAGGCCTAACTTTTGCAAAATCCGGAGGAAGAGAGAGAGATTGCAAGGCAAGGAAGGGTTGAAAAAAAACCCCTGATTTTCTAACCTTTGTTTCACTGACCCATTTGCTAGGCTCCAGGTTGGATGGAGGTTAAAACCCCTGCATTTTCCACAAATACAAACAACACACCCACCTTTGGGCCATGAAGCTGGAGAGGAGTAGATTTCTGGGACATCTGTTTGCAGAAGAGAAGACCCAAAGCTGACGAAAACAACACAGGAACCGCCTCTACACTCTTTGCTGAGCTTCAAGGACAAAAAAAAAAACAACAACCCATAAAGATTTAAGGTCCACGAAGCACAGATTTTTCCTTCTACTAACCCCTTAAAAAAATTGGTGCCCTGAAAAAGACACTGGAATTTTGGTGTGTGTGCATGTTTTGCTTTAAAATATCACCCATAGAGAAAACGCATTGCATTTTTAGCGCTTTTTAAAAAAAATTCACAAGCATAAGTTTCTTTTATTGTAAGGATAGCGTCAATATTTTTTTTTCTTTAAAAAAAAAGGGTTTTGTATTCCTTTTTTTCTGGGATAAGAAAGAGATTCCTTTTGAAACAAACAAAAAAATGGTTTTTGTCTGTTGATCCTTATCCAGATCTGGTGTAGATCGAAGCTTGCAAGCGAAGGTAATGCGAGAGACCCCTGTGTTTTAAATAATTGAGTATAAAATCGGGGAGAAAAATGGCAGAATTGAAATTTCAATGACCCTCCCAGGAACTGGCAAGTGAAAAAAACCAAATCAATTAAGGGACAATTTCCATCCAGTGTTCACCAGTGCCTAGCCAAAGGAAAAAAAAGACTCAGGGCCAATAAAACCTGGGGCCATTTTTATGAAACGGGGGTCTGCTTATAGCGAAGATCAGAAAGGAATCTGTTGAGGGCAAACACAGGACCCACCTTACATTTTCTGCAAAGTTTCCCCATTTTTGGCTGCTGCAAAGGAAAAATCTTAACGTCCCCACTGTTGATGAAAGAGACTTGTATTATTTTTTTTTAAGTTGGTGAAGAGGTTTTTTTGGGTCCCCGTCCAGAAATAAGACAGCTTAACCCCTTTTGGAAAAACCTGGGATCTGATTTGAGAAAAATTGAGAATTAAGAAGCCAAAGGACAATTCTAGATGGAGACCGACGTGCCGGCCGCAGAGGAAGCTCGGCGGGAGACGGAGAACACCGAATCTGGGGGCCCTGAACCCGCCGAGGCTGGGGTGGGTGACGAGGAGGTGGCTGTTGCTGCTGCTCTACCTGCGGGGGCTGAAGAGGGGACCCCAACCCCCCTCGCCAACGACGGTGCCCAAAGCGTCACGCAGACAGACAACGGGCAGCTCTTGCCTGTAGAAGCAGCGAAAGGGGGGCAAACGGAGGCACCCCCGTCCCCAAAGGAGGAGGCTCCCCCTCTGCCAGCCTCCCAGAGCACGCCTCCGGTGCCCGCCAGCTGCAGCGCCCCCGGGGATGCCCCCAAGCCGCACCCGTCTCCAGCCAGCCAGCCCAATCCGCCAGACTTCTACTGCGTGAAGTGGATCAGCTGGAAGGGCGAGAGGACGCCGGTCATCATGCAGAGCGAGAACGGCCCCTGCCCACTGCTGGCCATCATGAACATCCTCTTCCTGCAGTGGAAGGTAAAAACGGGCACCGGGACGGGGAGGGGAGGGCACGGGAGGGGTCCACCGCCGGGATGCCCTGGCAGGGGGCCGCGAAACCGGGGGCTTCAGTTCTTGCCTTCCCCCCAGGTGAAGCTGCCTGCCCAGAAGGAAGTGGTCACTTCGGACGAGCTGATGGCTTACCTCGGTAAGGTTGGCACCATCGGGGTTGGCACCTTCCCACTCCAAGGCAGGGCGGCTCCCTGGCAAGCATCTCCTGCCATCCCTCCCTTCCCCACCCCCCTCTGCACAACAATCCCGGGAGGTAGGCCAGCTTTCCATCTCCGCCTCCCTAGTGGAAGGTGCTTCCAAGCAGACTCCATTAATTGACTCCCTGTCCCCCTCCCCTGTGGAGACCCCTGCCCCAAGGCTGCCTAACTGAAGGGTCTCCCCCCCCCTCCTTCTGCCCCTGCAGGGGATTGCATCTTGTCCATCAAGCCCCAGGACCAAGCTGAGGCCGTCCAGCTCAACTTCCAGCAGGTGGGTGGACTTGCTTTGGCAGCAGGCATCCAAAGTCCTATTTAGGGCCAATTTTCCAGCCTGTTTGCCTCTGGGGCCTCTTTGAGAAAATTCCGATTTTTCTTTCCGGGCAGAACGTCAATGACGCCATGATGGTCCTTCCCAAGCTCTCCACGGGGCTGGACGTCAACGTGAGGTTCACCGGGGTCGCCGACTTCGAATACACACCCGAGTGCCTCGTGTTTGACCTCATGAATGTCCCCCTTTATCACGGCTGGCTGGTGGACCCCCAGGTGGGTGGCTTTCCTCCCCAGGCGTTGGAGGGGGGCAGACGGAATTGCACCAAGGCACAATCTGCACAGCCAGAGACGTTGGTATAAAAGAGAATGCCTCCATCTTGGAAACTTTAAGAAGTCTGGACTTCAACTCCCAGAATTCCCTGGCTCGGGCATTCTGGGAGTTAAAAGTCCAGACCTCTTAAAGGTTGCCAAACATGAGAGAAGTGGCATAGTTAACCCTTAATCCTGCTGCTTCAAAAGTGGTCTAGCCAGCTGGGAAGACGCGCTACCCTCCCCTGATGGATAGATGGCAGAAAAAGAAATCAAGCTACTAGTTCTCATGGAGAGGAGCAAAAGTTTGGCCCTCTGGATCTTCGCAAGGTTGACCAAAACCACAAGAGGGAACTGTAAACATCCTGTTTTTAAGGCATTATGTTCCGTTCTCTCAAGGCTGTCCTGTAGGCACTTCCGTTCCCTCCCTCCCTCCCTGTTTGATACCAACGACACCCCTGCAAAGCGGCACTGCAGCACAGAAATGTAAACCCAGTTTTTGCCGTGTCCCCTTCTGCCTGCGCCCCGGTTTTAGGGTGGGTATTTCTCTCCTCCCCAGACCGCCGAGGTGGCCCAAGCTGTCGGCAAGCTGAGCTACAACCAGCTGGTGGAAAAAATTATCACTTGTAAACACTCCAGCGACCCAAACCTGGTGACGGAAGGTAATACGGGGAGTGGGGGCTAGGTCCAAACCACCTTTTTTTAAATGGGGAGGGGTCTTTTGAGGGGCATTGCTGGTGGCTGGCAGGCCTGGGAAAGGTGCTTTAGAAGCCTCTAAAGCAGGGGGGTCCAATCTGGGCGACATTTAAGACTTCTGTGGACTTCAATTCTGGGAGTTAAAGTCCACAAGTCTTAAAGTTGGCTGGAGAATTCTGGGAATTGAAATCCACAAGTCTTAAAACTGGCTGGAGAATTCTGGGAGTTGAAGTCCACCCAAGTCTTAACGTTGCCCAGATCGGACACCCCTGATATGAAGGGATAAATTGTCTTGTTTCTCTTTCTTCCTCCGTCTCCTCCCCGTCCAGGCCTGATTGCGGAACAGTTTTTAGAGTCCACGGCATCGCAGCTCAGCTACCACGGGCTGTGCGAGCTCACGTCCACGGTCAAGGAAGGCGAGCTGAGCGTCTTCTTCCGAAACAACCACTTCAGTGCCATGATCAAGCACAAGGTATTCCCTTTTCCTGGAGGAATTAGGGAGTGGGGAACGTGTATCGTTCCGGACGAATAAAGCTAATTAGGACCCAGCCGAGTTTGTCCCTCTTTGCGGTTTGTGCTAGTCAAAAGGATGAGTCTCTCGCCCTTCTGCCGAAGAAGCTTCAGATCTAGCAGGCTTTTCATATTTTAATTGTTTTATAGGGTCGTTTTTTTTGTCTTGTTAGCTGCCTTGAGCCGCTTGAAGGCAGGATGAGCGGCAATCAATAAACTCAATTTCTATTTTAAATCTTTTACTTGCAGCTTGCATTTGGCAGTCATTGTAATGTGGTGTGTGCGTATATGCGTTTGTTTGTGTGTGTGTGTGTGTGTGTTTATATAGGTTTATATTTTTATTTTAAAGTTAGAAGCAGCCCAAGAATCACCTTGTGGTGGGAGGGACAAGCAAATAGATTTACAAATTAAATAAAGAAATGCAGTTAGTCCTCGGTTTATGACCACAGTTGAGCCCAGAATTTCTGTTGCTAAATGAGACAGTTATTCAGTGAATTTTGCCCCATGTGATGATCTCTCTTGCCACAGTTGTTAAGTGAATCCCTGCAATCCTTAGTAACATGGTTGTTAAGGGAAGCATGTCAGAAGGTTGCAAAAGGTGATCATTGCAACCGTCATAAGTATGAGTCGGTTACCAAGCCTCTGAATTTTGACCATAGGGATTCATTCATTTTCTTTCTTTCTTTCTTTCTTTCTTTCTTTCTTTCTTTCTTTCTTTCTTTCTTTCTTTCTTTCTTTCTTTCTTTCCCTTCCTTCCTTCCTTCCTTCCTTCCTTCCTTCCTTCCTTCCTTCCTTTTTCTTTATTTCTGTCCTTTCCTTCCTTCCTTCCTTCTTTCTTTCTTTTCCTTCCTTCCTTCCTTCTTTCTTTCTTTTCCTTCCTTCCTTCCTTCCTTTTTCTTTATTTCTGTCCCTTCCTTTCTTCCTTCCTTCCTTCCTTCCTTCCTTCCTTCCTTCCTTCCTTCCTTCCGTTTCTTTCTTTCTTTCTTTCTTTCTTTCTTTCTTTCTTTCTTTCTTTCTTTCTTTCTTTCTTTCTTCCTTCCTTCCTCCCCTGCCTGCTGGGCTTCAGAGCCACCTCTACCTGCTGGTGACCGACCAGGGTTTCTTGAACGAAGACCAGGTGACCTGGGAGAGCCTGCACAACGTGGACGGCGACAGCTGCTTCTGCGACGCCGAGTTCCGCCTGAGCCACGCGCTGGGCAAGGAGGCGTCGGGGGGCTCCCCGGTGGATCAGAGGCAAGTGGACCAGGTAGGCCAGGGATGGGGGGGGGGAGTCCTGGCAGAGGGGCCCAGCGGGGAGGGCAGGGGTCCAACGCTTCCCCCGGTGGGATCGCTCCAAGAATGGGACCCCAAGGGGACGTCGGAGGCTCTGGTAAAGCATGAATGTTTTTTTCAACCTGGCTGAGAATTTGCAAAAAATTCCCCCTCCGTTCCTGGGAACTGGAGTTACGTCGGGTACTTTAAAGCCAGCAACTTTTAAGACTTACGGATTTCAATTCCCAGAATTCTGGGAGTTGAAGTCCACAAGGCTTAAAGTTGCCAAGGTTGGAGATCCCTGATCTGAGGTGGGGTTAAGAAACAGAGGCAGCCTTTCTGACCCCCCTCCCTCCCTGTTTTTCTCTCCCCCCCCTCCAAGGACTACATGATTGCCCTGTCTCTCCAACGCCAGCAAGGGGGTCCCGCCCTGAGCGATCTGGAGCTGGCGCAGCAGCTACAGCAGGAGGAATATCAACAGCCCCCACCGCCAGCCCCCTTGCCCTCCCCAGCACAGGTACAGAGAGTCCCCAACCCACCCACCCACCCCCCGCTCTGGAGGGAATTCTACCCCCTCCCCAATTAACACCCTCTTTGCCTTTGCTGCCCTGCCTTTAGGGGAGAAGCCCACCAGCCCACCGCCCTACTGGAGAGCGCAGACAGCGGCCGAAGGTGGACACGGACTGCACCGTCCTCTGAGGTCAACCTGCAGGCGTCCCACGAGAGTCCCCCCCCTTCCTTCCAGGGCTTGCAGCTGACAAGGAAACCCCCCCCTCTATTTGCTACAGGGGCACTTCAGATAGGGCTCTCCTGCAACACCCAAAAATGCTTCAGAAGGGGGGGAGGGCTCCACACACCTGGGGGGCAGCTCCCCGTGGTGGATTTGCTTCTCCCACTCCGGGGGGGGGTGAGCGTGGGAAGGGGGAATAGAGAAGCGAAGAGGGGGCTCAGCCTGGGCCGGTCTCCCCACGGAGGCTGGGCCAATTTATGGGGGTCTCCCGTGGGAGTTTCCCATCTTGGGGAGGGGGCAGAAGGCCGCTTCCGTTGGAGGAACTGAGTCCCGAGCCATCGGGATGAGGGCCACCCGTGCACGGAGGAAGGACCGCCTGCAAAGTTACAACGGGAGCCATCCAACCGGTGCAGTTTCCGCCCTACGGAAACGTGGATTTCTTCGCCAAAAAGAGAGCCTGGCACCTTTTTTGGGGGGGGGGGCTTTAAAACTCTTGTTTTTTCTGCCTTCTCAAAGGCAGCCAAAACCAGGCAGAAACGTCTCCGTGGTGGAGTCCAAACGAGGTCCCTCTCTCGCTCGCTCTCTCTTTTCCCCCTGGTTTTGGAGGGCTAAGGACTGGACTAAATTCTGCATCACTAAGGCCTCCATTTTGCGCCGATTAATCAATTAAACCTGCCTCTGTTTACGTTGGAATAAAGCGAGTCCTTCTGAAGGAGACGGAAGCCTATTTTTTTTTAACCCCAGTTGATCCACTGAGAGAGATCCCAAAGAGGTTTGGGGTTTAATCTGGTTTATTTCTACAAGCAATGTTTTAACTTCCGCGGAAGTGGAGGACCGGGGTTTTTTTTGGGGGGGGAGGTGGAGGTTTGTACAGGCGTATGTGCTGTGGCTGTGGCTGATGGGTTGGGATCCCTTGCAGCAGGAGATGGGAGGGAGTGGGGCCACAGGGGTGGGATGTACAATTAAGCCTTTTTCTAGAAACTGAAGCCCCCTCCAATGCCATCAGACCGCAGCTGTATATCTACTCCGGGAGGGTCCTATTTCCCAAAGCTGGCCAATGAGAAAAGCCTGTTGGCATTTCCCGGCAGAGGTAGGTTGCTGCTGCTGCTGGAGGTTCTATAGGCCTTTGCTACCTCTTCTTATCCCCTGCTTTTAAACTTTGACCGAAGTTTTTTTTTTTGTAAATACCTGATCAAACTTGCAGATGTCTAACTCTCCCCCCACCCCACAGACACACACTCCGGCCCCTGGAAAGCATCGGAAGAATTTGGGCTGGGAGAGAGGCGGACACCCGTCCAACTGGTCAGGCTGAATTCCGCAGCTGCCTTTCTGGGGGGGGGGAGGGGGCTCCTTTGCAACTTTTCCAGAGGCAGCTTTGCTGGAAGGAAGTGCTGGGGGGGTGGGGGTGGTCTCCTAAGGTAGACTGCCTCTGGACGGAGAGGATCCTCGGCCGGGAGCAGGTCTCACAGATCTTCCGCCTTGCACAAGCCGAGCAATGCCGCCTGGTATTCGCCTTGCGTTTCCATCTGGAGGGGGGGGGCAAGGAGGAGAGTTTGGGGGAAACCCATCTGGAAATAAAGGGGGCGCTCCAGAAAAGATGGGGTGCTTAATTCCTGGGGGGGGGGGAACAGGGAAATTTCTTCCCGTCTGTGGCTTCTAGATACTTTTCAATAAAAAGTATCAGGTTGTCCTTCCTGTCTTCTGCCGGCCCCCAAACTCTTCTAACATGCAGATAGGCTGCTCCTGCAGAAGGAGGATCTGTTCCCAGTGAGTGGGCTTCAAATAGGCTGCATAAAATTGGGCTGCTCGGCCAACAAGCCTACCTCGTAAGAGCGTCGTGAGAATAAATTGGGAGTGGAGGCCTGGCTGGGTGGGAGGGTCCTTCCCATGGTTCCAGGGGGGCCTGCAGGTTCCCCCTGGGGTCTGTAACATGCCTTTGCCCCCCCCCCCCGATACTACCCGGGGCTTCACCTCAATGAAGGAGTAGAGCGAGACCCCGTAGCGCCTCTTGAACTCAGCGCGGATGCTCAGAAGGTCCGTCTCGCTGCGGGAGACCATGATTCGGACAGCCGTCCGGGGATTGTGTCCTACTTCCTGCGGGGGAAAAAATGACAATCGCCTTGGGAAAGGTGTAAGCCACCCAGAGTCGCTTGGAAATGAGAGGGGGGGGCAAATAAACTTAATAAAAAATAATAACAAAAAGGCTGGGAAGCTGGTCAAAGCTTTGGACCAGGCCGTTTAATACCCTCCTTCAATTCTTCTCAAGCCAGACTGTAAAAAAAGGACTACAGAGTCCATCTCTGCCCTTCTCTTTCACTTTGAGAAAGCCTATGGGCTTTCATTTGGGGAAGGAAGGGTCCTTGGGGGCAAATGGCCAGGCAGCGGGGGCTCATTTCCACCAGAAGAGACCCTCACGCAACCGGTCTCCCGTGCGAATCACGACCCGGAAGCAGAACGCCAAAGAAGGGCACACCTGGGGGCTCGTGGTAGCCCAGGTGGGGGTAATGGGGATGGGGTTTGGGAAGAGGTGGGCACCAAAAGGAGAGACCCTCACCTTAATGGCCGAGTGGAGCCTGGTGGCAAAATATAGCGGTGTGTTTCTCAGGAGGGAAACTGCAAGAGATTTATCGTTATAAAATAATTACAATTATATTTTTTCCCCTTCTCCTCATTTCTGGGCTGAGAGAGCTGCACAAGTTGGATTTCTGCCTGACAAAGCACCCGCAGCTAGAGTGGGGAAGGAAAGCCGGTCAAGCAGAACTGAGCTGGTTTGAAACTTGCTAATCAACTTGCGAAGTTCCCAGTCCCTGAGCTTAATTTACTGCTAATTGTGCCTCTGCTTAGCCAGTCTGGGGAGAAAGAGGAGGAAAAAGCTGATTTAAGTGGCCTTGCAACTCTTATCTTAACCTAAGAGATAAGGTTCCGTAAGGATTGTGCTAAAATAGGATCAAGAGGACTAGCAACTTGCATTTTTAAAAGCAGGGAAAAAGAACGAAGAAGATTCTCAAATCTTCCTCTTCCGAGTGTCCTCAGCCCAGGCTGTGCGAAACAAGACACAACTGAGGTTGTCAGGGCTCCTGAGCATGTGCAGAAAGCATCGCTGGAACTAGTTTTTTTTTTCCCCTCCTCAATTTAATCCAGACTAAAACTCAGATTCCAGGGTCTCTCTCGCCCTGCGCCTGGGGTGCACCTACCCAGCGTTAAACTTGCTTCCCGGAAGTCTCCCTGGAAATGTTTCTCCATAGTTTCCTCAACTGAGTTTCCTGTCAGCTCTTGGTACCAGCTGAACACTGGGGAAAAAAGGCAAGGAAAAAAAGGTGGTTTTTTTTTAAAATTATTGGGAGAAGACACCCCCCCCCTTTGTGCCCAGTTTTTCTTTAGCTTTTGAACAGGGACTCCCATCAGGGTTGCAGCGGGAAGCCTCCCTAGCCCAATCTGGCCTGGAAAACGAGCAAGTTTGGGGATGCCAGCGTGGCGAAACACAACCGCACGGCATCCTGCCTGAAGCATGGGGAGGCTGGCCTTGCCTCTCCTCAAATGCTCGGGGCTGCGTTGAGCCAGGATCCGGACCCACGCGCTCTGCTCCAGGCCTCCAGCGTCCCCACCAGCGGCCGCGTCGGCGAGGGCCTGGGGGGGAAAAGTCCAGGTATTTGGGGGGGGACGACATTGGAAAAGGGCACCGAGAGGGATCCAAGCCACTGGCCCCATCTGGGCGTAGAGGGGACCCCGAAGCGAGGCGTTCCCGTCTCACCTTTGAATCTTGCCGTATCAAGACGTAATCGATCACCCCCAAATGGCGTTCCCGCTCACCCTGCGGGGAAGGAAGGGGTGAGCAATTCAGCTGGTGACACTTTGCTGCAAAATATACATTATTTTCTTAAACGGGGCCCAGCGCTGATTGGGCCAAACATTTCGGACTTAAAAAGAATAACAGGCAGGGCGCTTTGAATTTTAGGAAAACACACACACACACACACCCATCTCTGGGGTTCTTACCAAGGGGTATTGCATTGCACTGCATTTTTATTTATTTATTTTACATTTTTATTTTATTTTTATTTTACTTCCCCTTCATTTTATTTTTACCTTGATCAAGGCAAGGAGCAGTTCTTGAAAGCCACCGGTGGTGCCACACGCGATATCCGTTTCCAGGTCTGATTTGAAATCTACGTCAGCGGAAGAAGCGAGAAGAAGGGAGAGTTTTGGCTCTCTTTACATCAGCAAGGAGGGGAGGATCTCCTCGTTTCCCTTCCTGAGAAAATGGTGGGAGGTAGACTACTCTTACACAAGGGGGCTCTGCATAAGCTGGGGGGGGGGGGGAAGGCGTTCTTGAGTGTCTCAAATAATTTACGAGTCGTGTATGATTAACAGAGCTGTCCTTCCTGAAATTCTAAGGTTATTTTTTTTCTGGTAGCCCAATAATAAATCTTTCGAGTTTTCCTTAGCCTACATCAGGAGCGTTCAACCTTTGCAACTTTTAAGATCTAGGGACTTCAACTCCCAGAATTCCCCAGCCAGCCATGCATGGAATCCTGGGAGTTGAAGTCCACAGGTCTTAAGCTTGCAAAAGCTGGACCCTCCCCTGGTCTCTAGGAATGCTCAACGAAGTAAAATACCACCGCTTGGAAGGTCAAAGCTCACCATCGTATCATGTTGCAGGGAGTTCCGCAGGCCATGAAAAGGAGGGCGGGTTCATCTTCCCTTGGTTTTTCAAGTTTATCAGGCAACTTTCTCTCCCCAGCAACTCCCCTCTCCTATTTCTCTGCTTTTTAAGAACAAGCAGGTATGTTTAATTTTTTTTTTGTTTACCTTGTTTATAATAAGCCAAGGTTTCTTGAAGCTGTTTCGCCCTTTGAGTGGAGACGATTTCAATCAGGGTTTCCACCTCCAGACTCTGCAAAGGAAGTATGGCCCAGGTTAGGAAACGACAGTTGTCAACTTTGCAGGGTGTGTGTGTGTGTGTAGGTTAAGAACGGGAGGGTCGTGGGGTTTCCTTGGCAGAAACGGGGTGCCTGTCTTTGGAAGGGGGGTACCTGCAATCCCGCCTGGATCTCGTGGGCATCGTTCTGAGCCGCCGGACGGAGCAGAGCCCTGATAATGGTCTCAAACTGGCCGGGCACCACCGCCTCCAGGGTTTTCAACAGGCCCTAAAAGGAGAGAAAGACTAAGAGAAATTTGGGGAGACCCCACCCCCCAGTGGAGCAGGACCCTCAGCCGAACACATTATGGCCGGGAAAGAGATAGTTTTGGTGGCTCTGTCCTAAAAAAAAAATTAAAAAAAAGAACCAGAACAGTCTCCAAGGACTGCCCCTACCATGGCACATTGCAGTAGTCCAAGCCAGAGTGACCGCTTTGCTCATTTTTCCTTTCCAGGAAGGGCCATTAATTCCCCCCCCCAAAAAAATCCCTTCCTGGCCTAACCTGTTGGGTGAAGTCGAGGAAGGCTTCAGCAATCTGCTGGCGATGCTCACTGCTCCGGCTGGTCAGCAGGTCAATGACGACTCCGCAGTTGACCCCTTTGGGGGGACCCGAGGGTCCCAGTTTCAGCCGAGGCCTCCACACCAGGAGTTTGCAAACTCTGCTCCTGTCCCTCGAGTTAGACGTACTCCAGGAAGAGTCGAAATCTGCATATGCAAATCGCCTACATCAAAAGCCTGGTTAGCATAATGATTTTCTCAGGCTTCTGCTGGGCTTAAATTTGCGTATTTCTCTGGACAGATGTCCTAAAACCGTCCCCTTTGTTTCAGGATACACATCCATCCCTTATCCGGATTTTTCCAACTCTACCATATTGGTCGGATCCGATGGGCATTTGAGTTGCGTCCTGTTCTGAGTCCAACTTCCCGTCTCTCTGCAGAGCCCACCTCGCAGGGTGGCTGTACGGATGCAGGTGAGAGGGAAGGGAAAGGGGCAGCCAGCGTCTTACCTTCGCCACTGATGGCCTCGAAGAAAGTCTGGGCATCTTTGGCTGCATCAAAATTCAGGTGAGGCCGGATGGTCCCCAGGGTGCCCCACACAGCCACCTAGGGCAGAAAGTTGCAAAGAGCCGAGATCTGGATGACCAGCTGAGCCAAGCCTCCCCTGGCCTCCACAGTCTACCTGAGGGACCTTTCCATCCCTTCCCTCCTCCTTAGGGGGCAGCATGTTGCGAAGGCCGGTGGCCTCAAAATACTCCGAGGTTACTTTCTAAAAAAAAAGAAGTTAGGTTCGGTGGCACCTCACCTTTTCGGCCAGCGGTAACTGCTCCAAAATTTCGTCGGCCATGGATCCCTGTTCCAGCCGGTTCCTTGCAGGCTTGCCAAGTCGTGGGGGGTGGGGGTGGGGGATGAAAGAGCCCCACTTAGGCAGCCCTCAAGCACGCCAGCCCTGGCTGTTGCAAAGAAGAGAGTTTTCAAGGACACAAACCCAGGAGGCTTCCAATTCAAGCTAAAACAATTGGGGGGGGGGGAGAGAGAGAAGCAATACAGGCAAGGAGTTAATCTAGGAAGTGTGCCCCCTCCCCCGAGGGGCAGCAGAAGGAGGGGCTCCGCCTTTGAGGAAGTGGGGGCAGAGGGGCGTTCGGGAGGAATTGGAAAGGAGGGGAAAAAATAAAATAATAAAACTCCCCAGTTTTAGGCAGAAAGACCAGGCTGAATTTCTAAAAAGGAGAAACTGGAAAGGGATTGGGAGAAACGCACCTGGAGGTCTTCCGAGTCTCAGTGTTGCTTGAAATCGCCCTCCCCCCCAGAAGACTCTTCTGACCCCCCCTTTCCCTCCTCCCCAGGAGCAGAAGAGCCCCAGAGCCCCTCTCCAAAGGGGGAAATCTCGCTAGCCGGGCGCTCCAGCGAAGGAGCCGCGCGTAAAGTCGGCTTCTTCTTCTTCTTCTTCTTCCTCCTCCTCCTCTTCCTCCTCCTCCTGGACGGGCCCCGCGCGGTCCCCAAAGGCGGAGGGGCGGGGGCGGCAGCGGCTCCCCCCCAAGGCGGCTCCTTAGCCAACCAGCGCCGAGAGCCTCGGAAAAACCTGTCCGGGCTGTCGCTCTCCAGTCCGGGCTGCTCGGCGGATTCTTCGCCTGGCGGAGCGCACCTGCCGCCGTGGGGCGTCCGGGAAGATCCGGGCGGCCACTGGGGGACGCCGCCGCCGCCCAGGGTGGGAAGCCTCCCCAGGTCGCAGGGCCACCCTCTGCGCGCAGGGACCCCCGACTCAGGCTGGGTGGTCGTCAGGAGGGGAATTCGCCCAAAGACCCGTGCAGGATGCTTCGCTTTTTCGGGACCTGGACAGGAGCTTCCCTGAAATCGTCTCGGCACCCGCCGCTTCTCTTCCGAGCCTCTTTTGCGGGACTGGAACTCGGCACCTTTGTTCATTTTCACCCCTCTGGAAAGGGGGTCTTTTCAGTTCCGAGGGAGGGGGAGCAGCTGGGAGAAGGGAAGATGGGCACCCGACGAATGGGGGACTTGCAGAACTGATTTCCCTGAGAATGCCAGAACAAACTTTCTGGAAGTTTGTCTGTCCGGCAAGAAGAACTCCCAAGTGAACAGCAGCCTTTTCCCCACGTGCTCGCTCCCAGCCCAGCCTCCCGAGTAGCCGTCAGAACGCGAGACGGCGAGACCTCGCTGGTTCCAGCCTTTGGGGGGGACCTGTCTGGGGTGAAGCCCCGACCCGGGTCTTCCAATTCTCCGGGGCCTCCGGGTGCCAAGTTGGAACTCGGACCCGCAACTTGGGAGACTTCTCGCTGCACAGGAGGAGTTGTTTTCCCTGCGCAAAATGCTGGACGGGAGAAAAAAAACACCCTTTTTTTTGTGCGCGCCCGGAGCCTGTGATGCTTCCTCGGATGAAAGAGGTGCTTTTTGTGGCTTCCTTGATTGATTGCTCGTGCTTGCAACGTTTTCCTTCCTTCGGAGGGCTTGGGAGAAATCATTGGAGGTCAAATCTCGCTTCTAAAAATCGCCTTTTGCAGCGGAGTTCCTAACAATTTAAACTCAGTTTTGTCCTGGACAGTTTAAAAAAAGAAAAAAAGCGAGGAAGCTATACTGTTACGATGTTCTCCACCGGGGGCGCTGTGGACTTCCCTTCTGAGGGTGCGGTGGCTATCTGAGCCACCAGAGGGCAGCACCTCCCTGCCCTTCCTCCAGGTAGCCTGTGTGTGTGTGTGTGTGTGTGTGTGAGAGAGAGAGAGAGAGAGAGAGAGAGAGAGAGAGAGAGAGAGAGAGAGAGAGAGAGAAAATCAGCAACTCTCTAAAGCAGAGCCTCCCGTCCAGGAGCAGTCTTCCTTGGATGACTAACCTAGCAAGAACAACAGCCCTGCCCGTGGGCCAGCTTGGCAGAAAAATCCCGTTCTCCTCCAGGAAAATGAATTCGACAGCTCACTTAGAGGAAGATCTTGACTTGGCCTCCGAGCTCGCCCAGTGGCATTTCCGCCTGGAATTCCTGGACAGAAAAATGGTGGAATTCCTACCTGCCACTAGCAAAAATTGGGACTGGCAATTGAGATTTTCCGCAAAAGAGAAGGTGGGTGCATCTCGGCCTGTTCCACATTTTTATTTCTGTGCTGCAAATCCCTCCGGATAGAAAATTATGCTCAGAGGACTTCCTTCCGTCAGGAAGCAGAACAGCTGCGGTCGCTAGATTTTTTTTTTTTCCACTGGAATAATTGAATTCTTCCTCCATGGACTCTCAGTCTTCTTTCTTCTCTGCTGCAAGGATTCTGCACGTTTTTCCATTAGGGAATTCCTGGGAATTTACCACGAAGGATGATTAAGGCTTGATCAATTGGGAAAATGCAGAGGGTGGCATTCATTGGTCAGCTCCTGCGTGTCTTTATCTCCAACGTGGGTGAAGTGTTTCCAAACACAGCCATTGCTCTAATTAGTTTTTCATTAATCCAGATGACTAAAGAAGTCTGGAGAGAGAACATCGCTGGGATGGCATCGCTAGAACTGGGATTAAACCTGTTTGTAATCCAGGTTGGCTTTGCGGGGTCCAATTTCTGACAGACCGGGATAAAATTGCTCATCCCAGTTTAACAAGCCGCAAAATTATGCCCAGCCGTTATCTGTTTTCCTCAGCATCTTGATCATTATTGTGCTTTATTTTACGAAGACGCTGCACTTCTAGACTGACCTATGAAAGAACAAGGAAGATTTTAAAAAAATGCCCCAAGCACAATCCCATTAAAAATAATCTCAAAAAATACAAGTGGGTTTATTTTATATATAAAGTGTGTTCACTTTATCAGTTCAGACTTCAAGTGTGGAAAATGTTCAGATTTCAAGCAGAGCCAGAGAGACCTTAACAGGGAGTGAACTGGGCCTATTTTTCCAACAAGAAAGTTTCAAAAACACTGGGAAAACAGGAAAGAAAAAGCAGCGTTTTTTAGTTTTTCAGTGGAAAAATAAGCCGATCCCCACCCCAAAGCTCACAAAAGCAACACCCTGCCCTTTGTAAATAAGACGGAACGCTTGCAGGAGCCAGTATGGATCCTAGCAGGGGAAAACCAAAATATCTTTTAAAAACTCTGGCTGCGATGCCCATTTCTCAACCCCTGGATGTGTCTTCTGAAATCTCTTCCCGATTTTATTTTAAATGTAGATTTGGGGAACAGAGTAGGGGGTCAGGGTGCCTTTTGAGGGGGTCTCTCCACTTGGCTAAAAGATGCAGCTTCTTCCTGCTTCCCAGATGGATAAAAAAAACCCGCTTTTCTGTAGTTTTCAAGGATGGGGGTCCAGCGATGGATGCTTGGAGAGGCCGGGGGGAGGGGCACCGCTTCTAATCCCCCCTCCTCTTTCAAAAGGAGACAGGGCTGAAATGGGGGACCCCCGCCTGTCAGGTTTTCCCCCAACTCCTGGCCAATTCCAGCCCACTTATTTATAAACAGTAATAAAGGCAGGATAATAGAGTCCCATAAATAAGAAACTTTCCCCCCTACCCTCTTTTGTGCACCTTCCTTTCCCGGGGAGGGTGGGGGGGGAGAGGCACCCCAATTTCAGCCTTGCCCCAAAGCCTCTTTTGGGACGCCTTAGGGGGGCTTCTCTTTTTCCGCCCCCTCCCAAAGCCAAAAAAGAGGAAGGGGCTTTCCGCTCCCCCTTTGCCCCCCCTTCCCGGCCCGTTGGGGAGAAGGCGCGTCAGAAGGGATGACTCAGGCGGGGGGGGGGCAGCCAGCTGCGAGCCCTCCCTTTCGGGTCTCCCCCCCCTCCCGGCAGCCGCTCCCTCCGCCCCTCCCCAGCCAGGCGGCGCTCCCTCCGCGCTCGATTGCTCAGGCTGGGCCGGGAAGCCGACGGGGGGGGGGGGGCGTCGGGGAAATGGCTCTTTCGCCCCGGGTGGGGCGGCGGCGCTGATCCCGGGCGCCTTTCCCCTCTTTTCCTTTGATTTTCAAGAAGCCCCCCTCCCTCCCTCCCTCCCTGCCCCCCATTGCCAGAAGGGAGAGGCGGGCGAAGAGCGGCGGAGGCTCGGGCCAGGTGAGCGCCGGCCTTTTGGGGGAGGGGGCGCCCCTCTTTCTGCGCCCGCTGCCGCGGCTTCCTCCCCGGCGGGTCGCGGGGCGGAGGAAGCCGGGGGCGGAAGGAAGTTGCTTCGCTCCGGCCGGGTTGGCGGGTCTTCCTGGCCAAAGCAGCGCCCCCCCCCACAGCCTGGTCCGGCGGAGGGTGGGCGAGGGGCCGAGGCGCTCCTGCGCCCTCCGCCTCCCGCTCGGCTCTCGGCTCGGCCAATAAAGCGGGCCTGAAGGGAAAGGGAAAGGGGGGGTCCCCGCCCAAGAAGGGGGCAGATGCGCCATCGACCCTCCCCCAGGAATCTTCCTTCCTTCCTTCCCTCCCTTTCATCTTCTTCCCTCCTTCCTTCCTTCTCTTCCTTCCCTCTTTCATCTTCTTCCCCCCTCCCTTCTTCCTTCCTTCCTTATCTTCCTTCCTTCCCTCTTTCATCCTTCCCTCCCTCCTTCCTTCGTTATCTTCCTTCCTTCCCTCTTTCATCTTCTTCCCCCTCTCTTCTTCCTTCCTTCCCTCTTTCATCCTTCCCTCCCTCCTTCCTTATCTTCCTTCCTTCCCTCTTTCATCTTCTTCCCTTCCCCACTCCTTCTATCCATTTCCTTCCTTCCTTCCTCTCTCTTTTCTTCCTCCCTCCCTCGCTTTTCCGGACCTGCCCCAGGCCCACCTTCCGTGAAAGGCCCCTTGCGACGGGCGGGGCGGGCGGGAGGTGGCGCCGCAGTCCCCCCCCCAGGCCTGGCCTGACCCCCTTTTCCGGGTCGGCCTCCGGCCGCGCGAGAGGGCGGGGCCTGAGGCCGCCTCCAGCCTCCCCCCCCG